AGATATTCCATGACAAAACCAGAATTAAACCATACTTATCAATTAATCCAGCCCTACAGAAAGTTCTGCAAGGAAAACTCTACACTCCCCAAAACATAGGCAATAGAGAATCCCACTTTACCAACAGCCAAAAGAAAAATGGGGGGAAATCCACACATAATACCAGCACCACCACCACCACCACCACCAAATCCAAAACTAACAAGAATTAACACACAATGGTCATTAATATCCTTCAGTATTAATGATCTTAACTCACCTATAAAAAGACACAGGCTAACAGAATGGAAACGAAGACAGAATCCATCCTTCTGCTGCATACAAGAAACACACTTCAAAGACAGATTTAACGGGTGGGAAAAGATTTTCCAATCAAATGGACCCAAGTAACAAGTGGGTGTAGCAATCCTAATATGTAACAAGTTAGACTTTAAACTAAAATCAAACAAATGAGATAAAGCAGGTCATTTTCTATTCAACACAGATAAATCCATCAGTACAAAGTCTCAATTCTAAACATCTGTGCCCCAAATACAAAGGCACTCACACTTCTTAAAGAAAAATTACTAAAACTGAAATCGCACATAAAACCTCACACATTTATAATGGGAGATTACAAAACTCCACTCTCAACACTAGACAGGTCCACCAGATCGAAACTTAACAAAGAAACAAAGAACAAAGTTAACTAATAGAAGTTATGACCCAGTTGGGTTTAACAGACATTTATTGAACATTCCATCCACACACACACACACACATACACACACACACACACAAACATACCTTCTTCTGAGCACCACTTCAAACCTCTAAAATCAACCACATACTTGGCAATATAGTAAGCCTTAATAAGTACAAATAAATTGGAATAGTCCCCTTATCTTACTAGACCACCATACTCTAAAGTTGGAATACAACAACAACACAAATTGCTGAAGCCCTACAAACACATAGAATAGTGCACAATTGCACTATTCCTGGATCAAGGAAGAAATAAACAAAGACTTCCTAGAATTCAATGAGAAGGAAGACACACACCCAAACTTATGGGACACTTTGAAAGCAGTACTAATTGGAAAGTTAATAGCACTAAGTGCCCACATGAAGAAACTGGATAATACCCACATTAGAGAATCAAGAACACAACTGAAAGCTCTAAAACAAAAAGAAGCAAACTCAGCACGGAAGAGTCGACACCAAGGAATAAACAAATTGAGGGCTGAAATCAATAAAGTAGAAACTAGGAAGACAATACAAAGAATCAATGTAACAAAGAGTTGGTTCTTCCCGAAAATCAACAAAATAGATAAACCTCTATCCATACTAACCAAAAATCAGAGAGAGAGAGAGAGAGAGAGAGAGAGAGAGAGAGAGAGAGAGAGAGAGAGAGAGAGAGAGAGAGAGAGAGAACGAGAGAACATTCAAATTAACAAGAGCAGAAATGAAAAGGTGGATATAACAATAGACACTGAGGAAATCCAGAGAATCTTCAGATCATACTTTGAAAAGGTGTACTCCTCAAAATTCTAAAATTCAAAAGAAATGGACAATTTTCTGAATGGATGCTATTTACCAAAATTAAATCAAGAACAGATAAGCAATTTAAATAGACCTATAATCCCTAATGAAATAGATGCAATCATCAAAATCTCCCAACCGAAAAAAGTCCAGTGTCAGGTGGTTTCAGTGCAGAATTCTACCAGAAATTTAAAGAAAATCTAATGCCAATTCTCCTTAAAATGTTCCACTCAATAGAAGAAGGTTCATTGCCAAACTGCTTTTTCAGGGCTACAATTACCTTGGTACCCAAGCCACAGAAAGACACAACTTAGAAAGAGAAATACAGACCAATCTCCATTATGAATATTGATGCAAAAATACTCAATAAAATACTGGCAAACCGAATTCAAGAATACATCAGAGAAATCATCCACCATGACCAAGTAGGCTTCATCCCAGGCTTGCAGGGATGATTCAGCATATGAAAATCTATTAATGTGATCCACCATATAAACAAACTAAAAAAGAAAAATCATATGATCATCTCACTATATGCTGAAAAGGCCTTTGACAAAATCCAACACCCCTTCATGATAAAGGTATTGGAGAAATCAAGGATAACAAGAACACACCTAAACATAATAAAGCAATATACAGCAAATAAACAGCCAACATCATACTAAATGAGAAAACTCAATGCGATTCCTTTGAAATCAAGAACAAGACAAGGCTGTCTAGTCTCTCCATATCTCTGCAATATTTTACTTGAAGTGCTAGCTAGAGCAATAAGACACTAAAAGGACGTTAAGGGGATACAACTTGGAAAGGAAGAATTCAAACTTTCACTATTTGCAAATGATATGATTGTTTACGTAAGTGATCTGTAAAACTTTACCAAGGAACTCTTACAGCTGATTAACACCTTCAGTAAATTAGCAGGATACAAAATTAACCATTATAGCTGATAAATACCTTCAGCAAATTGGCACTATACAAGATTAACTCAAGAAAATCAGTAGCCCTATATACAGATGATAAAGTGGCTGAGAAAGAAATCAGAGAATCATCACCTTTTACAATAGCCACAAACAACATAAAATATCTTGTGGTAATGCTAACCAAACAATTAAAAGACCTATAAGAACTTTTGAGTCTTTAAAGAAAGAAATTAAAGAAGATACCAGAAAGTGGAAAGTGCTCACATACATAGGTAGGATCAACATAGTGAAAGTGGAAATCTTGCCAAAAGCAATCTACCAATTCAGTACAATCCCCATCAAAATCCTGGCACAATTCTTCACAAACCCGAAAGAACAATACTCAACTTTATATGGACAAATAAAAGACCCAGGATAGCCAAACCAATCCTGTACAATAAAGGAAGTCCTGGTGGCGTCACCATCCTGACTTCAAGCTCTATTATAGAGCTATAGTCCTGAAAGCATTTTAGTATTGGTCCCAAAATAGGTAGACCTTTGGAATTGAATTGAAAAGTCCTGATACCTAAGAACACCTGAATTTTGACAAAGAAACTAAAATTATACAATGGGAAAAAGAAAGCATCTTCAACAAATGATACTGGCATAATTGGATGCTGACCTATATAAGACTTTAGATATATCCATATCTATTGCTATTCACAAAACTTAAGTCCAAATGAATCGATGACCGCAACATAAATCCAGCCACACTGAACCTCTTGGAAGAGATAGTGGTACAGGAGACCGTTTTCCTGAACTTAACACTAGTAGCACAGACACAACAAGACAAAAATGTCAGCCCACAGAATTTGAAAAGATATTCATCAACCTCACATCTGACACAATGCTGATTTTCAAAATATACAAAGAAACCTCAAGAAGCTAGTCACCAAAACACCAAATAATCCAATTACATAGTGGGGTACTTAACTAAATAGAGAAATTTCTATTGAGGGATGTAAAATGGCTGAAAGACACTTGAGAAAGTGTCCAACATCCTTAGCTATCAGGGAAATGCAAATCAAAACATCATCTTATTCCTGTCAGAATGGCTAAAATAAAAAAAAAAAAAATCAAAGGCAGTTTATGCTGGAGAGGATATGGAGAAAGAAGTACACTCCTCCACTGTTGGTGGGAGTGCAAACTCATACATCCACTTTGGAAATAAGTGTGGCAGTTCCCTGGGAAAATGGGAATCAGCTTACCTCAGGATTCAGTAATTTTAGTCTTAGGCATATTCCCAAAAGATGCACATTTATATAAGGACATCTATTCAACTATATTCATAGCAGCATCATTTGTAATAACCACAAACTGGGTATGGTAGCACATGCCTTTAATCCCAGCACTCAGGAGACAGAGGCAAGCAGATCTCTGTAATTGCAAAGTGAATTCCAGGACAGATCAAAGTTACACAGAGAAACTCTGTCTCAAAAAATGAAAAAATAGAAGAAAGAGAGTAATAATAATGCCACGTAAAAATGAAAAGCTCAGAGAGAATCTGTATACTGTATGGCATTATATTGTCTTTATATCGTTTGACTGCTGAGGAAACAACTGTCAAAGGAAATACTGCTGGATTAATTCAATTTATATATTTTAAAAATGCATTGACTTCAAAATTTAAGTTTAAGGACAAGTTCCTGGGGAAAAGGATTTCTATTTTTGTTTCCACAGAAAATAAAAAGCTGTGGATTCCTTCCAGACTAATGTGGTTTGAGCAAGCCAGACCCCCTGAAATAGCGTTCCTGGTGATCCAACATTCAAAACAGCTTGAATAAGGCAGTCTTGCAGACTGCAGCCAGGATTTCTGCATCATCTTAGGATCCCCATGATAGCGCCCCCTATCAGCAGGAAGTAGTTTGGAAAGAACGATGCCCACATTCCCAAATATTGTTTATAAATGTTTGTTTTCATTTAAGTAGACTTGGTTATAAATGGTTAATGACCACAACCAATATCTTTTTAAAGGTAAAAAGGGAATTATGGTATAGATATGAATACTTTGTTTTGGTATGGATTTTCATTTATTGAAACAAATTTAAGGTCAATTTTTTTTTTAAGATTTATTATGTATGTGATGTTATGCCTGCATGTATGCCTCCAGACCATAAAAGGGCACCTAATTTCATGTTGCTGGACCTCAGGAAGAACAGCCAGTGCTCTTAACCACTGAGCTATCTCTCCTGCCCCATGTAATTCCTCTTAAACCTTAGGGTATAAATTAATTGCATAATGCTTTGGATAAATCACCTCCATTCTCTCAGTTTCACCACCTCTAGAGAGGTGACAGTGTATGAACATAGTTTTTCTTCAATAATACTAAAGGACTATTCACATTGTAGTCCTTCCTTGACAACACTGACAACAATCCTTGTAGATCTCTGGACATTTCCCTCGTGCCAGATTTCTAGTAAATTCTAGAAATTACTCAATTTCTCATATAGTATTTGTTTTTCAAACTCAAGAAGTAAAACATAGAATATTCTGTCTAATGGGTTTCACCTTTTCCCACAGATTCATCTGAAAACTACATTAAGACAAAGACTTTTGAGGGCTTCTGTGCATTACATCTTGCTGTGAGTCAAGGACATTTGAAAATCACACGGATTCTTTTGGAAGCTGGAGCAGATCCTAATGCAACTACTTTAGAAGAAACCACACCATTGTTTTTAGGTAATTTATGCTATTTTTGATACAGATGAACTTTTAAAAATATTTTTCTTAGTAAACTGTTATAGAATGTTTCTTTTGATTCTGAAACCGAAGGCTATTTTTAGAGATTTCTCGTTGTTTTTCTAGTCTTGGGTGGTGATAGTATTCAGGACTTGAAAATGTTTATTTAAATGTGCAAAAATCCATTGTGAATTGAAGCTGCCCTGTTGCCCAGGGCAGTGCTGAAGACCAGTGATGCTCTAATTGGATCAATCATTGCAAGGCTATCTGCTATGATCATATTTCCTTTTTTTTAGTTAAAAGATAAAGAACAAAGCATTATTTGTTGCCTGTGGATCATGAGTCAGACTTCTACTGTGTGGAACTGTTAATTTCTTAAGGACTACAGCTAAGCCCTACATTGTACACTGTTAATAACATTTTTATTTTTATTCCCTCTTTCATTTTGGTTTTGTTGGGTTTTTAGGGACATTTTTGATTGACTGGTTTGTTTGGATTGACTGAGACATAAGGAAGTTCAGAGGATTTTGTTGAAGTAGAATTAGTTTATCTAGAATCTAGTTTTGGTTCTACCACATATAACTTATTTATTATATGCTTGTTGCTTTAATTATAAAATGAGAGTATTGTATCTATCTAGATTGTGTTATTCACATGAGAATAAAATAAAATATTAGTGGAAGTACTTTTTTTCCTTGTGAATGTGAAAATATTTGTTTAAAAATTTTACGTGTCATAAAATTCAGCTTTAAGGTGTGTGTGTGTGTGTTTGTGTGTGTGTCTGTGTTTGTGTGTATGTGATAGGAGATATCATTTTATATTGGTTGATGAACAAAACACTGTGGCCAATAGGGCAGCAAGATAGGCAGGTCTAGAACATGAGGATTCTGGGAGGTATAGGCATTCGCCATTGTCATGTGATTCCGTGTAAGAGAGGACATGAGTGAGGCATTCTCTTGTAAGAGAAGACCTTGTAGAATTGCATAGATTAGTATTTACGGGTTAATAATTAAGACTGAGTTAGCCAATAAAAAGCCCTAGTATTATAATTAATATAAGTCTCTGAGTGCTCATTTGGAGCTGATGTGGTTGTGGGGCCAGGATGTTGGGAAATAGTGTGTGTGTGTGTGTGTGTGTGTGTGTGCCCATACATACATACAAGATACATACATTACATACATACATACATACATACATACATACATACATACAAGAGTCTGTGCTTTGTCACTCTTTACACTATACCATTGACACTGATTTATCTTATTGAAATTTAATCCTTCTGTTCTTGTGCCCATAGCCTTGAGGTTATAGGTGTATGGTCATGCTGAGGGTTTCCTTTATGTTCTGTGAGTTTGACCTCAGGGCCTTATTCTTGTGTAGAAAGCACTCTTAGCTGCTAAACCATCTCCTCAGCTCCAATTTCTAAGAATTTGATAGACTACAAAATCATTCTATTACCCACAAATTCCATCTTATAGTTTTGTTTTGTTTTCAGGATCTTCCTATGTAGTTTATGTTGTGACCACGAATGGTCTTCCTGCTTTTGCCCTTCAAGGGATAGGATTAAAGGCATGTGGCTACCATACTAGGTTTTGTGCCAATTTTCAATTTTCAGTCCTAGATACTGATTTGTTCTCATTTTTCACAATATGTCATAGATATATGAAACAGTATACTATGTAACCTTTGAGATTTTAAAATTAGTATAATGCTTTTGGAATTCATCTGTATTATTGAAAGGATTAATGCTCTATCCCTTTTTATTGATGGATCGTACTGTATTCCATTATATAGATACCAGTGTTTTCCCATTTGAATTGTTTTCAGTGTTTGGTGATTGTAAATCTGGTATGAATATTTGAATTTGGTTTTATGTGATTATGTTTTTAGTTTTCTAGGTATTCTAAGTATATGCTTACCTCTGGAGAACAATTTTGAGATTTTATAAACTGCTCTACCACTTTCCATTCCTTTCATTAACAGTTTAGCATTTCGGTTGCCTCATATACTCAATACTTGGTATCTCTAACTTTTAAATTTAAGTCATTCTTTGTAGGGTTTAGTGGTATCTCACTGTAGTTTTAATTTTCATTTTCTAATTATATTAGAAATTTGGTGATAGCATTTTCTCATGATTATTTATAGTTTCTATTTCTATAATTAGATGATGGAAATAATTAATTCCACTACAGAGGGTTCTCATATTTTCCATTCATATTTGTTCTTTTACTATTTTGTGTAAGCAATTTCTTTCTTTTCATTTTCCATATTATATTTATGTAAACCCTTTCGAGATTGCATTGTAACCTTAAAAGCAATGAAAGTTCTCCTACCTATATGACTACTTTATGATGATCAGAATCAGAGAGTTAATGTTGATAAAGCACAATTTGTTTATTTAATTTTAAAAACACTATGTTTATGGGTTTCAGCCTTTATGTATGTCTTTGCACCATGGGCATGCCTAGAACCTGTGGAATCCAGAAGAGGGCATCAGAACTGGTAGTACAGATGGGTGTGAGCTACTATGTGGATGCTGAGAATCAATCCTGGGCCTTTGGAAGAGCAGATAGTGCTCTTAACGAGTGAACCATCTCTCTATCTTTAAGTACTATTACTTAATTTTCAGACCTTTTTCAGTTTTTAAAGTTGACTATAAATGTTCTTTATAGTGAAAGAAAAAGTGCCAGTTAGTCTAGCATCAGTTGTTAACATTCTTGTGTCATGCTCCTTTAGTTTCCTCTGAATAGGAACCTTGAGCCTCCTCTGATTCAGAACCACATTTTGGTTTTCTGTGGCATATACATATTTTTGGTGAATGCTGTTTAGGGTCTGTTGTTCTGTTTTCAAAGACGTTAGGCTCTTTTGGATGTTGTAGGACTTGTTCTGGATGTCAAGATACTACAGAGTCATTTTAGAAGCTAGTAAGGATAAAAGCAGAAGATGAAGTGGATTATAAGGCATAATAATATCTTCTTAGGTGGGTGACTAGAAAAATCAGTATCAGTGATTTGTTGGGTATGATTGTGACTGAACACAAGCCTAAATGCAGAGAGCCAGAAAGTTGATAACTGTGGAATGAGAGTGTCATCCATGGACAGTTTGCCAAAGTTTTAATACAGATGACTTTGCTTTTCTTTTATTTTTTATTTTTCCCAAAAGAGATGTCTTGTTCTAGCTCAGGTTGGCCTGGTCTAGAACTTACAATGTCAAGATAATGTGTCTCAAGTTGGGCTTGTACTTCTGGCAATTCTGCCTCAGCCTTCAGAGTGCTGGGATTCTAGACACATTCCTCCATACTTGGGTAAGGATGTAACTTTTCAGTTTGATGGTAGGAGTTAGCATGAGAACAGTATATGAGAAAGGTGAAATTCAGGAACCATCTTAGTCTTTTGATTGCCAGCACGGTTTACGTTCATGGTTTGATAAGGAATCTGTCCTTCCTCTGTTCCTTTCTTTCTCTCTCTTCCCTTCTTTCTTTCCTTTCTGACAGGTCTTGTTGGGCTGCTTAAAGTGATCTCAATCTTGAGATGCTCTCATGTAATTGTAAGTGCCTGGTTACAGGTATGTACCCTGTTGTCTTCATTCCTTGTCTTCCTTGTTCATGCTCTTCTCTTTTGATCTGTGTATATATGATAAATATTTTTACCATACCTATAAAACAACTGTTTTCAAAATAAAAATATTCCTATTTTAAATATAATGATTTTTAAGTGAAAATCCAGCTAATTCTTTAGTAAATAAGGCTTTTTTTTTTTACTTTTATGTGTTTTATTTAAAATGTCTGATAAATTAGACGCTCAAATCCAACCTACATGTGACTTCATAGAAGCATCATAGAACCATTTCTGAGGAAACTGCCCAGCACATACATTTGGTTTGGGATAATCTTTTTCTTTCCTGAATCTTTACTTATTCTGTCTAACCTTCACTATTAAATAGTAGGAACAATATTAGAACAAAGCGTTCTCTAAACAGTGTTATGTGAGGCAGCATGTTTGAATATTTAACTTTGGAATGTGTTATATTTTGGCTCACATGGCTTGTCCTTTGACTCTGTCATTTGCTTTGCTTTTCACCTGTGTCTTCATGGATAAATTAGTTCCTAAATGATAAGAATTTACTTATTTTTTTTTATCTTGATATATATTGTGTTGATACTTTAGTAGTTATTCTTAGGTTTTTCAACTGAAAGATTATTCACTTCCTTAGAAATTTTAATGTGTTTCAACTTGAGAACAGTTTCATTACTGAACGTATGAATTTGAATTTTCTCAGATAAAAAATATTAGTTCATTAAGTGTTATACAGAAAAAGTGTTGACTTTTAACTGTCTATTATGATCTGTTTATATACTTTTACATTTATAGTTTGTGTTAATTTTTGATTTTTGTTTTTAAAATTTGCATGTAAAGTATTAGGCTTCCTTATGGCATTGTGGAATAATAGTTTTTGTTTCTGATGTAACTTTTTATAGTTTTATGTAACTTTCTAATCTTGTACCTTTATGTGAACTTTTGCTGGTCCTTTTGTGATAGTTCATGTTATGAACATGTGTTGTTGCTTGAATAGCTATTTTCAGGGGTTTTATAATGGGAAGGAGCAAGAAGCATATTTCATATTAACTTTTCTTTTCAAGTTAGGATTTGGGTGTGATTTTACTAACTTAGCACCATTTACCAGTACGTGGGAGCTGACATTTGTGGGTTTTTTCAAAGCTTTCCTTTCTGAGATAGCATTCTTACAAATACAGCTCTTCTGTGTGATTCTTTGTTTAGACCCAACTCTTGTGATATTCTCATTTTTAATCGGACTGGAACAATTAGATTCTGTCAGTGACCTCATCATTGACAGGTATGCTCCTGCCCTCTCTCCACCACAACCTTCCTCCCTCGCTGATTATTATCATTGACATCTAGTTTCTTGAGTTCTTTATATATTTTGGATATTAGTCCTCTATGGAATATGAAGGTGGTAAAAATATTTTTTTTTTCATT